GCTAAACTCCTTTCTCAGAAATGAAGCTGATGTGTTTTGAGGCCTAAACCATTTAGAATATAAACCTGAGGTCTAGAAGGAAACCATGAAAGTCCAGGACAGACTTCATCTCTCTCTACAGTCTGAAGAAGCCAGTGCTGCCCTGCTCACGTTCGTTACACACGGTGAAGGCATCCCATCCGAGACCGCGGTTTGAAAGCACTGGCTAACAGACGTGCTCACTTCAGCTGACCTTTCCAACTAACCTCCTCGCTGCCGTGCCAGCTGGTGCCAACTGTTAAGTGCCTTTCCGTGGTGCTGGTGCTGGACCTGGGCTTCAAGCATCCCAGACAAGAGCTCCACCCGTGAGCTGCATTCCCACATTCTCTTTTTCTTTTTGAGACAGGATTAAATTAAGCTGCCCATGCTGGTCTTAAACTCTGCAAACCAGGCGAGCCTTGAACCTACAATACTCTTGCCTCAGCCTCCTGAGTAACTGGGATTACACTATGTATGAGGCCTGGCTTAGGCATGCTTTTTCTACCATCTTCTGTTCATATCTGCGACCTGACATCATGGGAAGCACTGACAAAATAGAAAGTACCCCGGGGAGAGAGGCGATGGCAGTGCTTGTCCATGCCAACGGGACCCTGGAAAGGAGCTGTGTCTGCAGAGAGACCGACTGACTGTTGGGAACTGCAGCCCCGTGGAGAGACTGGAATGCCATGGGTCCGGAGGCTCATCACCTTATCTTTGTCTAGTTTCCCCGTTCACCTGTGTTAGAAGTAACATCGATAAAAACCTTTCAGAACCTATTTATTTGGCAGACTGGTGCTTCCACCAACCCTAAAGCTAAGAATGTCACCCTCAGCATCCTAGGCCTATAGAAAAGCTCCCCCATCTTTCTGTAACCACCTCTCTGATGTAATCACCAGTGTATTTTAGACTTGTCTTGATTCATGACTTTGTTTTGTAAAACGACAAAACTTCCCACAACTGCTTCCACACTGGAATATGGAACTTGGGGCAGCTTAAATCTGTGTTCTCAGGCTATGGTCCCTCACAACGGCTCCAGAGTAAACTATCCTTATTCCCTTTAAGATGAGGGCTGTGGTTTTGTGTTGACAGTGGCATCTAGACTCTTCTGGGCTGTCACGTGCAGACACAGAGACTCAGAGACTCAGTCCGCCCATCTTCTCTTCCCCTCTCTTCTGCTGTGAGCTTGCTCTTTCCCAGCCAATCGCCCTTCCTGCTCAGATTCCAGACCGAGAACCCCCTACGAACGTCCCCCAGGGGACTCATCTCCCTCCCATGTGCTGGCACTTCAGGTCACAGATTTACAACTAAGGGTGACACAACTATCTTCTTTCTTTTTAAACGACTAATTTACTTATTTAATGTGCGTGGCTGCTTTTGCTTGCATGTATGTCTGTGTGAGGGAGTCAGATTCCCTGAAACCAGTGTTACAGATGGCTGTGAGCTGCCAAGTGGATGCTGGGAATTGAACCCAGTCCCTCTGGAAGAACAGCCAGTGTTCTTAACCACTGAGCCATCTCTCCAGTCCCCCACAACTATTTTCTTCTTTCCTTCAAACCTGGTTTTAGTATGTAATGTGGCACCATCACCCCTGCCATCTCTGTATTTGTCCTCACACACTCTCTGGCCAGAATTCCTTTTCGACTAAAGCCAAAGCAGTAGGTGGAGCATTGTGTCATGAGTGGCCCCGGGGAACTGATGGATTACTGTTTATAGCGGCTCTGTGTGCCAGGGCAAACAGTCACGGCTTTCAATTCACTTTCTCCTTGGGGTTGGGGACTGAAATAGTGTCTTACTGTGTAACACAGTCTGGTAGAGCGCTCTGGGCAATCCTCATGTCTTACTCCCAAGAGCCGAGATTATAGGTCCAGGCCACTGTACCAGATTAGAGTTTCTCCTTTTGTCTGTCCCAGCTTTGAGACATCACTGTCAGCATCCACTTACAATACCCAAAACTGGAGAAAGGGAGGGAGTGGGTTTCCTCTCTACCCCGAGAGGCTGGGCTGGGAACTGGAGGGCCGCGCCTGTCCAGGTTCCTGGTCAGCTTCCTGCTCTTACCATGCGGCATTGTCTCAGGGCTGAGAACAGCCAGCAGGCTCCCTGGAGAAAGTATCTGTGTGTAAAAACGGGAGCCAAAACACAGTGACAGCATTGGAACAGGACTGGGCCGGGAACAAAGGGGCAGCCAGCCCTCGCCAGTGAGAGAGAAAACGCCGACAATAGCCTCGCACACTCATGTAGCAGGCCTGGCGGAAGCAAGGGTGTTCCACAGGAACCTTTGTCTCTCAAGCAGAACGCTGGAACAGTGGACCCCAAGGAAACAGGAGCCCCCAGGAATGCGTGCTGGGAGAGAGGGCCCCAGCCAGAGAGGCGCTCCTAGAAGAGATTCACCCAGCTCTAGTTTACCCTGCCACCTTCCAGAACAAGACTGCAGGCCAGGCAGTGGAGACCAGGTGGGTGGGGCCACACGTTACAGGACTGATTAATCACGGTCTTAGTTTGCTTCCTATTGCTGTGATAATGGCCAAAAGCAAAAGCACAGTCTGGAGGGAAGGATGTATCTGACTTTTACAGGCTTCCACTGGGGAAGTGGAGGCAGGAGCAGGCCGTGGAGGAGTGCTGCTTACTGGCTTGCTCCCATGTCCTGCTTTGCTAGTTTCTTACTCTTACATATCCCAGGACCACCGTGCCCAGCGACTGCACCGCCCACAGTTGGCTGGGCCCTTCCACATCAATCATCGATCCAGAAAGTGCCCCCACAGGCTTGCCTACAGGTCTAGCCGACAGGAGCTTTTCTTCCAGACTGAGGTTCTCTCCTCAGATGACTCTAACTTCCATAAGTTGACAAAAACCTAACCAACACAGATGCTAAACTTCAGTCCCTCTTCAGGACCATAGGATGGACTCGGGGAGTCGTCATTCCATCTTTCTGCCCCTCGTTCTGATGTAGCCACATTGAACAAATCTCTCTCCTTTTTCTGTATTACACTGTTAATCTGACTCTTGTGATTGGCTTATTGAGGACAGGTGGCCAAACCTGGATTGGGGCATAGGTTGTGACCCCCAACTCTGATAGTATCCAGAGCATGGGCAGTGAGAGGCTAGCCTGGGAGGGCAGTGCTTGTCATAAAAACAGGGTCATCCGGAAGCTAAGAGGAGATGTTATGCTGGGTTGGGGGGTTCAGGCCACAGCTACCCACAGCAGCCTCTCTCAGAGCTTCAATGAAGGAGATGGCAAGCGCAGAGGACAGCCTATGTGGGACTCTGTAACCCTCTAGTGGACTTTGGGTGCCAGGGTTCCAGGAGAGATGGCACCCTAATTCTCACCTACATGTTCCAGCTACCTTCAGAGTTCTTGGTAACTGAAGGCCGTCGGCGGCACCACCACCCCACCACGAATATAATGGGTACACATTAAGTAAGTGTGCCCCTCCTCCCCGCTCTTTAAGTCACTCAGCAGCAAGATGCGGCTCTCCCTTCCTGGCAGTGTAACAGTGTAATACTTCCCTCCCTTCCCATCCTACCCAGGAGTCAGAGAAAACCCGACTGCAAGTAAACACTATGACACACTCAGCTGCGACCACATGACACGAACCCCCGCTTCTCAGTCTGTTAGAAGGGACCCCGCTCTGTTGTACAGACCTAAACTCTCCTCAGAGCCCCTGCCACGCTGCCCGAGTATGGCATGTTTGTCTGCGGTGTTCCTAACTGCTCCAATAAGACCCTATCCAATAGGGTGCTCTGATTTAGTGTGTCCCCTTCAGCTCCAAGCCCACCACCCTTCAGGTGCCTGTCCAGGAATAAGCGGAAAAGGCTGTTTATGGCCAAATGGTGGAGAAGAGAAGATGTAGTTGAACTTAGGATGGTGTGCATGGGTTCAAACACATCCACATGTCCTGGAGATGGGCTGACTATGGGTCAGAGTGGGTGCTCAATGGCGTCCCTTTAGAGGGCCACGTCTGCAAACCTGTCCCCAGTTGGACACTGTGCCCGTAACAATGCAAAGAGTAGGCCCTCCCCCAGGATTTCATCTTTTGCCCACTGCCAGCAACAACTCATTTGACAGGGCATTACAAATACAAATTCATGGGGCCAGCCTCAGAGTACTGACAGAGCCTGAATATTTTTGTCCTACCTACACTTACTCTCAGTGCAGAGATGGCCTCTACAGAAGCAATTATATAAGTAAGGTCACAAGGGTGGGTCCCTGATCCATTAGGATTAATGTTCTAAGAGACACCATGGGCATACTCTGGGCTAGTGGCTGTCCACAAGCCAGATGAGAGTCTTGAACAGGACAACCCTGACCTTGGACTTTCTAGTCTTCTGAATGGTACAAAACCCCATCTGTGATTTTGTTATTAGTGGTCTAGGCAGAATGTAAGCTTCCAGGGTGGGTGGGGCCCAAATATCTATGCTGGAGAAACTCTGTGTGTGACTCTGACAAAAGGTTCCTCTTGAGAAATGCTGGTCTGGCCATGGGATGAGACCCATTTAAAACATCCATGCTTCATGGCTGGGGAAGATCCAGGGATCTTAGAAGGACGACAGCGGCTCCAAAGACATGGGGCTTACCCAGAGCCACGAAGTGGCCTCACGGTTATCACTTCTCAAATATATCCTGCAGGCCTTGGTGGGAAACCTCAGGTGAGAGACCCTAGCTATTCCCCCTCACTTCCTCCAAGGGTTCCACCTCGGAAGACTACGTGGCTCTTAGGATGAAGGTACTGTGAGCATGGCTCTGTCTGTCACTTGTGTCTGACACACACGAGGACACATGCGTTTCTTGTAGAAGGAGATGCGGCGTCCACTCCAGCTTGGGGGTGGGGTATAAAAGAATCAAGAGGGTCCTCACAGGGTTTGCCCAGGTGAACCCCCTTTCAGAAGAAAGGCACAGCTGGGCGCCCGCCTCACAGTCAGCTGGCGCAAGCCGTGAAACAATCTCTCCCCAGACAAAAGCGGCAACGAGGCAGCACCACACTTACTTCCAGGACCGTCCATTGTTCCACAACAATAGCGTCGCAGCCCTGTGTGGTTCTGTTATCTTCTGGGGAAACAGCTTCAAAGATGAATACTCCATCTGTCAAGCCATGGAAGGAGTCTGCGGAAAGAGCAACAACAGAGAAAAACCAGTTGGGGAGGGAGGGGGCTGTCTGTGGCAGAAGTCTTACAAACAGCAAGAATTTTCACCGCGTTCATTAATAATCCCAATCAGAACGTCTTTTCAGAATGTTAATTAAAGATGGCATACACAGTTGTGGAGTCTAGCCCCATCAGGATGAATGAGACTAATTTACCTCACTCTTTTGAATAATATCCTTGATTTTATGAGCCCAAATTTCATCGTCGGCAATCACCATCGCACTCACGTGCCTGTCCTCCTGTTCATGCCTGTGTCAGGATGCACTGCGCAAAACTCACCCGGGCAAAACACAGATTTTTAGAAGAAAACTATAGTTGAGTAAAAGGGAATTTTTTAAAGGCAGGATAGTTTCAACATGCCAAATCTAAGCTTGCCAGTTGTGCTCTGGATGCGTTAATTCTGGGGCGTTGGGGGTTGCGATGCGACTGACGCTTCCCGCAGCTGGAGTTTGGGAGTGAGCTTCCCAAATGATTCAGCACTGAGATGTTCGTGGACACTGCCAGTCAGGAGAGTGACTCCCGAGTACTGGACAGCTCAACAAGCCTGCATGGGATGGTCAGCATTGTTTGGGAACGTTTAGAGGTGAGGTCTGAAGGAACAGGACAGAGCCTCTGCCTTCGTTTGGGCTGTGGTGCAGTCATCCAGGATTTCTCTAGGCAAGACTAGGAGAAAGGGGATCCATTTTGATACTGGGACCCGACTCCAAGTGACTTGTCTACCTCACCTGTGAAGTGAGGACCTGGGACAGGTGACTCCTTTGCCCTACAATCTACTATGCAAACACTGCCCTGCCTCAATGACCCCCTGAAGCCCTAACCCCCAGCCGGGCCTCTGGAAGGGATGAGGACCCAGGGAGCTTTGCTTGTCCCTCCTACGCCCGGATACGCAGAAGGAGAGTCAGGCGGGAAGAGAGCTAGAAACGGAGCTTGCTGGGCCTGGGTCATGGGCTTCCAGCCTTGATAAATGGGGAAACGTGTCTATTTAGTGACGCCACCTACCCTGTGGGCTTACAAACACACACCAGACAGATTGGACGTACATGCTGGGAATCCGAACTGAGGGCCTCATATTCTCATAGCAAGAACTTTACCCACCAAACTTTCTCTAGCACCCTTGTTGTTGTTTTTTTTTGTATTGTTTTGTTTTTAAGTAATTTTACAAATAATGCCTACAGAGAATACTCCTGAGAGCGTCTACTGCTGTCATGACAGACTAATGGAGATAAGAGGGGGTGCCAGGAAGGGCTTTCGGGGAGCCATCTCAAACTTGCTAAATGGCTCTCCAGGAAGCTGTGCAGCTAAAATTCTTCTAGACGCAGTCAGTGTCCCTCCATCTCCACACCCACTGGCTCAACATTTGCCAGTCTCACAAACAAAAGAAACAGTCTTTTCAACACTTACTAGTCATAGAGAATCAATGTCTAGTTTGTGTCCATTGCTCATGTCTATTGGGATCTTAAATTTTTTAGGTATTTATAAAATTTTTATACATAAAGAATAGTTAAGTATAGCCCTTTATTTATTTTTATTGCTGGAAATAACTTTCTCCTATCAATGTCTTTTTAATTTTATTTGTGGAGAACATAAAAGCTGCAGATTGCTATGTGTTGGCAGTCTGAGTTTTTTTCTTTGTGACTTCTAGTAAACACTGACACAGAAAGTCACAGGTTTTCTGATTTTTGTCTCCCTTCACCCTCTGTGACAAAGAAAACGAACATTATTATGATTTATCTCATTTTAAAAATCCCTTTTCAATCAGTCACTGATGGTGCAAGTGGCTCCTGGGGATGTGGCTGGGCAGCCAGCCTAGTTAAAAGGACAGGGTCACATTCTGAAAGAGACCCTGGCTCAAAAAATGGGGGACTGGTAGGGGCAATTGAAGTCAACCACCCGCACATACCCCTGTGCACAGAGGCTCCTCTGCTGTGGAATGCTGGTTGGAGATGTGTCACATTTGTTTATGCTGTGGATATTTATTTAATGATGTAAAGGTGTGTTGTTTTCTTTCATGTTGTATTTCTTTAACTCTGTGAAGCTGTGCTACCTTGTCTGTCTAAAACACCTGATTGGTCAATTCATGGCCAATAGCAAGGCAGGAGAAAGGACAGGCAGGGAGCAATAAACAGAAGGAAAAACAGAGGCTTGAGAGAAGCTGGAAGAGATAAAAGGAGCTGAGGAGGACTCCAGGGGCAGGCCACACGGCCAGTCACGTCGCAAGAAGGAAAGAAAGAAATGCAGAATAAGGAAAGGTAAAAAGCCCAGAGGCAAAATGTAGTTAAAGAGAAACAGGATAATTTAAGTTAGAGAAGCTGGCTAGAAACAAGCTAAGCTAAAGTGGGGCATTCCTAAGTAAGAATTAAGTCTCCCTGTATTTATTTGGGAGCTGGGTGGTGGGCCCCCAAAGAGTAAAAACACAAACTTCTCTCTGTGTGTGTGTCTCTCTCTCTGTCTCTCTGTTTCTGTCTCTCTCTTCCTCCCTCCCTCTCTCTCTCTTCTTCTTCTTCTCTCTCACACACATACACACATGCACACCTAAATAAAATAAAGTCACCACAGAAAAAGTTAAATGACTACATTCTATATCATCCTAAAAATACCATGAGAATTTAATAAGAGGATACTTAAGAAACGATATTATATAGAAAAAAATACAGATACAAAAGTGCCATGTGGGCTAACCGTAAATTTTAAAAATTGTTTGTGTGTCTGTGTGTGCACATATGTGTGTGGGTGAGCTCAGAAGCTAAGAGTGTGTGTGTGTGACCCTTAGGGACCTCAGTTACAGGTATCTGTGACTCACCTGACATGGTGCAGGGAGTCCAACACAGGTCTTCACGATACAGCAATGACTGCTCCCAACTGCTGAACCCTCACTCCACTCCCAAAATTGGGAATTATTTTAATGTGATAAATGTTTAGCTTAATAAACGTTGAGTAAATAATAAGACATCAAAGTGGTCATGAGTGGTGGAATTAAGTATAACTAAAATTTTCTTTTCAGTCCTCTTGCAAGACTAATAAAAAGAGTAACATGGGTGACCTGATAATACAGAAGGAATAATTGCCCTTTCTCTCTCCTATGTGACTCTTGAAGGCAGATCTAGGTTCAGAGTTTTAGAAAGATCAGGGGCACAGTCCAATAAAGCTAACCTTCCCGAGTGAAGCTACGAATAACCTCAGGAGAGCAGTGGAAACACCGTGCTCACCACAGAGGACCTGCCCTACCCCTCCTCTATCCAGACAACTGCTGGGTACCATTACAGGCCAGGCATGCACCGGGGGCCTCCTTGGCAGCAAAATGCAATTCCCCCAACCTTAGAGCTTACCACGTGGTTGAGAAGACAGACAGTAACAGAGTGTCAGAATTGACACACAAAAACACAGTGGGGTGAGGGAGTGAAGGTAGCGGCCACGGAGGAGGCTGTTTAAACCAGGGCTCCGTCAGTCAGGGATTCCTAGATCAGGTCAGCCTGTGGGCACATTAGCTTGATTACTCTGAGGTGACAAGAGCTGCACACCGTGGGTGGCATTAACCCCTAGGCAGGGAACCCTGAAGTGTGTGAAAATGCAGACAGTGTTGTGAGCACACACATGCATCAATTCCCTCCTCCCTGCTTGGACCAGAGCTGCATGGGATGAATTCCTGCCATCCCCACTGCCCTGACGCACTGTATCCTGGGATGGGAAGCCAAACAGACCTTAGGATGCTTGGTTGGGTGTTTTATTGCCTCAGCAGGAAAGGACAGGAAGGCAGACATGAGTGCGCTAAGCAAGCAGGTGATGTGGTCTTGTAGGATCTTTGAGTTCCTGGCAGAAAGGGGACAGCCCGCAGGCAAATGCATCGGGTTGGGGCAGCCAATGGCAGATGATCTGCAGAATAAGAAGTGACTCAGGGCTCAGGGTGACTGGTAGGGACAGGAACAGTATTAAGACTTCTCCAAGAGAATAGCAGGTAAGATGCAGAGCCTGAAACTGTGTGTGTGGTTGAACTTGACCTCCTATGTCTCTGTTACCATAGAGCTAACTGGATCCAGGAAGATGTAACACATAGAACAGAGCTGCCCCAGAGGAGCCAGCCAAGGACATACCCCATAGAGCCAAGTGGATCCAGGATGATGAAAAAACACAGAACAGAGCTGTCCCAGGGGAGCCAGATGGGCCCAGCTGATCCACAGACTATGAGGGAGTTTGGTGGGGATCACTACAGAGCTCCAGACAACAGAAAACCCTACAGAAAAAATAGCTACTCTTAAGCCAGTGAGTTCGGGAATGGTTTGCTACAAGGCATTACTAACTACTCGACAATGCTCAACCTAGATGAAGTAACGGGAAACCAGCGAACTTTACTCCGGTGGGGTAAGCCCTTATCTTGGATGATAAAGATGCTTGAACAGCTCAATTAAATGATGATTACAAGAATGAGTCCTGGAGCACCAGCAGCTTAGACCACACTCCTTTTCCATTAAGTTCCCCAAGTGAGTCAACCATGCAACAGCCTTGGCAAGCTCGAGTCTCTCTAGTGCTTTGTGAGAGCTGCCGTGTGTTAGCTTGCTGGCCTCCAGCGGGCATGTGCCGCAGATGACTAGGGACAAGTCCTCTTCAGAGGAGCAGCCTCGTGTGAACCCTGGGGCCCGGGACAAGCATGCTCCTAGGTCCAGCTCAGCTTTCAGTTCTTGGTAACACTGGCGGGGAGAGCCTTGCCAGAGGAGAGCCACCCATGGCACTTAAGATAAGGCTTCCTCAGCCCTGACCGTTGGGTGTTCAACACTGGAAGACACACAGTAGTTCCTCAAGGATCTTACAACAGAGTACACAGCTCCTCTAGTCCTCCAGAAAATGTCACAAGTGGCCCTCTGCCTCTACAGAGTCCATTTCTAGGGAGTCAACCAACAGCATACAGGAATGCATGAGCTTTGCCATTATTCTCCAAGCAGTATGGCATAGCAAACCATTTATTCA